TGCGTGTTTGTACCTGACAATACACCAAAACACTCCAGTATAACTTCACACACTGTGCGGGCCCCAACAGATACTTACATGCATTTGTAGCGCACAATGAAGCATACAAGTGCACATCTAAAGCTATTCATTAATTTTTCTCGCTTATGAGTAATTCATCTTGCCCTAGTTAAATTTTGCCTCTGGACATAACCATGCCGTTATTTAACATTCTGAAACTATACCAAGCGTGAGGCGATTGTGTATTTGGAACTTTGAGGACGTTGCTACAGATTGCCAGACATTTTTTAATATTGATACTTTCATGTCGCTTTTTTGGCGGGTTACCTGACCACTGTCAACGGATAGTATCGAAGACTGATAAATTTTATTCTGGGTCGCACATTGTTCTCCTCATATCGGGATCTCGGGATGTAGCACGCGCATTGCAACCAGAGAGTCAGTAACACTCAAGCAGAGCACTTTCATGATCGACCTGCTGCAGATGGTATGTGTTTCCTTTCATTCCCACAGAAAGTTCAAACGGCAGGCATACATATTCTCGTTGGTCGCATTTCGCGAGTAAATCAGTGATTTGTAATTGCCATTGTATACAAGCAATATAATTTCAAAAACGTTTGCCACATACATGCTTGTGTACGGCAAGTGTGTGTCCCAGTTGGTTGCATTTCAAGGATGGAGATTGGGAATAGGTAAAAATTGATATTACCATACTATACAGGCACTATATGTTGGCAAATTGGTCGCCTGCCTGCTTGTGTATGGCTAGTGTAGGTCCCAGTTGGATTCATTCTAGAAATGGAGGAAGGAAATAGGGGAAGGGGACGAGATACTACCGTTCTATACCAGCGGTGTTTTCTTATGATTGCCTGGTATTCATTCCGCACTCGCTTTACACTGCATATGATACACAGGCCAATGTCCTCCACCACTGCACGGTTAACTCCCTGGTACTGATCGACGAGTTCGGAAAAGGTATGGGTTTGTCTTATAGTTCAGTACCTACAGTATATTTACCATGGCAACGACTCCTCCCATCAATATGTTTCACTAATTGACTTATGGTTCTCGTACTTATTAACTCACAAATGATTACGCGATACCAGACACGGCTAAATGATGATGCTTCTGTGGCATGGTATGGGAAAAAAAACTTATCTCCTTCGCATAACGAGACAATTTTTATTCTACTTTATAGGAACATCGCCGACCGGAGGGATCGCACTCTTAGCCGCCACACTTACGGACATTCTGCACACGCCCAATGGATGCCCCAGAACGGTGATGCAGACATACCATTGAACCCAGGCTAAGATTAAGATATATACTCCTTGATCCTACTTCTTGAGTGTTATGGGTTGTAGTCATAACATCTATACAAATACATCAAACTTCTAGAAGTCGCGGGCTAGTGTGTCTCTGAAGCCTGACCCTCTCTGGGAGCTGCATGGGCTCGGACTGGGTCGCAATTCTTGCTTCGACACAGCAAATTCAGTGTGTCGCAAATTCAAATGCAATACTGATACCTACTTAAAACCGAGGGCCCCTATGCGCTTGGATCAGTATTTATCAAAAATATACCTAATACTACATCTGCAGTCCCAACCTGCAAATCGCACCTCTCGATACACACCTGTATCTGCGCTTCTATTTACAATTCCGAACTGTCCGCTAAAAATGCCATGTTTTTCTCTTTTTACCCCCATGTTCGTCCATTTTAATCCCCGTTTTTATACCGTGATCTCCTCATGTTTGCCTATTATCACTTCATAGTGCGTCACAACCCACTGCCATGATCTCTACAACAAAAACCTTCTGGCTGATAGTGCGGCCGTTGGCTACAAAACAATGCAGGTACCAGTTCATGTTCGATTAATGCGCTATAGGGGGTGTATATGCTAATGTTTGACATACCAAGATTTTTTCCTCTTTATTGATGGTTTGCTGTATGTACGCATAAGACAAGCAGTACATGAATACATTCTTTGTTGGTGGTCAACTGTGTGTACGAGGGTGTTTAATGCACATGATGAGAACATGATTCTTGTTATTCATTGGAAATCTACAGTATGAGGCTGCTCAGCGTATGCGAGCAGCACATGTAATACAGTCTTCGTTGATGGTCTACTGTATGTACGAGGGTGGCTAACCGTCGCGTACATGCAATCCGTGACTTATTGATGTACATTGAGACGACCAGTGGTTAGCCAGCATCTCATCCTTAGTCACGTAGCCCATAGAATAATTTCAAATGCATCTGTGCTTAGTGGCACAAGTGGTACCTACCCGTCGTTAAATGTACATTTACTTGCTGTTGAGAGTATGTAACATCACCACCTGTGAACTATAATTATCTATGTATTGATTGCATATATACACTATATGTCGGCTGAATGTCATGTCTATGTGATCAACGCATCGTGGTTGACAAATTTCCATACACAACTCTTTAGTATACGTAAAAGTATGCTATGTCTATAAATGTATATCTATAGCTGTACTATCTCGTCACATATGTACCCGAGACCCCTGAACCTGAACCTCAATCTTCCTCGATGAAGACTCCTAATAGTAGTCTATCAATATCCCCAGATAATGGACACTGGTGCCGAAGTAGTCTATCTGTACAACCTCGTGGACGGGACCTCCAATCTCACTCTGGCAGATAATGTTGCGCGATTGGCTGGTGTACCAGAAGTGGTACTCGCGCGAATGCGGGACATCATTGACAAGAAGTTGCGTAATCTGCCTGTGAAGCCTATTCCGTTACCCGCTGGGCTCAATGCTCGGTATTCTGCGTTGTATGTGTTAGTTTCATATTTGCAATGCAATATGTGCATCTTATACTCCAGTATCAGCATTCGTCCGCGGGACTATATGATAGTATCTTGTTTTATCGGTTGTGGTGCTATTTAGATTCGCTCTTGAGGGATATATGACAGTATACGCACGGGGAGAAACTAGAGTTGAACCCACAAGCACGCGCTGCATTTTTTTAAAACATCAACTCAATAATCTACAAATATACACAACGTCCTTCTCGCAGCAATGTCGACATTGTGGAATTGTGTGGGCAGTTCTTCAGTGGGAATATCACAGTGTCTGAACTACTCGCCGAGGTTCTAAACAGAGACCTGGAGTACCGAAATGACAGTATGAGCTCCTAAGAAGACAATTATCTTACAATCAACCCAGACACTAAAATATGCTTGAGAAAACATTCCCTGGATTCCAATTCACACGCCACTAGGGAGTTATAGCACCATTCCTGGTGTATAATTCAGCCATGAGTATTTCTCTACAGACGACCTCCACTCATTGTAGGCACTCCATTGATTGTGTACATCGCCATCAGCACCGAAGGCCACCAACCACAGCGTTTGCGGGACTGTTTATCAACGGTACAAAGCAAAACTGCAATGTTCTGAAGACTTTACATTGCGTAGCGCTTCTCGAACGTTATACTGTAGATACTCTGCAAACATATGTCAACTTATAGATACGGATAATATTGGGACATTCTCGAACTCGATTTATTCCAATATGGACGGTCTAGTAGTTTATGCTGTGGCATCGTGCATCTGCACACACTACACTGCAAGCAGCAATTGTAGCGCATCTGCCCCATGAGCACTAGCAGCAGAAGGTCTCTTCTCAGTCACAGGACCATTTTCATGTTAGTATGGACAGCTGGCCAGTGCTTTCTACGCACAAAACGCGGTATGATATACACATAAAACGCGTCGGCCGATACAATACCTACAAAACCACCGCTTATTGACCGCCTGCTGACTTGAGCCCCTCATCTTGGGTGGGGTACATGCAGAACGCTTGCTCCCAGCCAGACTTGACGAACAATTTCCGTAACTGTAGGAATGTGAAAATGTGAGGGGTGAGAAAAGAAGGCGAGGTACGATTATGGTGACGTGGACTATTCGATATACGCAATGCGCCTTTGCCTATTTATGACTGGATATTCACACGACTGTAAAAGAGTATGTATACTACATACATATGAATACATATGCCAGTTAAAGTCACAGTATAGACCGAATGTATTGTAACAGGACCTCACTATGCAAACGAAAAAAATAATTCGAGAACCACAATCCCGCGACGAATCAAATATTCTAGTACATACTGAGTGCATGTCTGGCCTTCTTATTAGATGAGAACTATCGCGTACTTTGCAAACGATACCAGCTCAACGAAAACAAGTTATTTATTGCACACGTATGCCCGGTCTTAATAACCTTGCATAACCTATCCTTCGACACTGCCGCACAACCAGCAACACACAAAAAAACTCGCACCACGACAGACTAGCCAAATCATTCTATACGACTGCCTTGCCAATACTATTTGCACATACCATATCACGGTCATGCGCCGAGAAATCGTCATACTGGGCCTCAGCATGCTTCAATAGGGCCAGTGTGAGTGGGCGGGATACAGTGACTACCAGCACTTTCTCGAAGTTAACTACCAACATCGCTATCTCGTTGGGAAGGAACTTGTGGTTGCCACTCTGGATTGCAAGTGTAGCACAAGAATAATGGAATATCGTTAGCCACAGAGCACACCAGCGTGATATGGAAAGCTGACTTATATTCCACCATTGTACTTAAGTTGATACGAGTGTGCGAATAAGAGGCGGAGCGCGCATGTGAGCTTGAGATGCAATTCAGGCCAGCCCGTACGAGATTGAGTACTGGGTAGATGTTCCAATTGCTGCAAAGCACGGGCTTCTTGTACATTCTAAAGGGTGTTGATGTGTAACCCCTGGTGCAAGCTGCCCACGAGGAGGTTGTTTCACAGCAATGTTTAGTACAGGGTGGAAGCAAGCCTGCACATAGTGCACACACACCGTACACAAATGGGCCAAGAGAGACCCAATGAAGGTCCAACAAGGACACCGTATTGGATAACTCAGTCGATAGGCAGGTCGAGTGTCAAAAGCACTGGAGTAGGAGACAGTCACGGCAAGTAGAACACCGCCAACAGCAAAAGCGAAAGGTGAGTCATTCATTTCAAGAGCGCAGACAGCGGTATTCATACACCTAGACAGTGGAATGGTGTCTTGATACTCTTCCCAGAAATCTTCTGATCGAAACAAAGAGACCAATACCTACATATATAGTACGAGTACCTATACTTACGTTAGGGGTGTCTGAGGATCCTGCTGACATACCCATACATACAGCAATGACATTGAATATAGTCGGGAAACACGTATCGTGATAGAGTGACATATATGCACAACAATCCCACTGGATACTCCATGAGGCATACGTGTATTTCCTATCGAGAATGATAGGTCCCCACACTCACAACACTCACCTGTATCATAACGTGCGTGTGCTTAGCCAGGGTCGGCAAAACAGAACTACCCACGATCGATTGTCCAGCAAACGCGAAGGCAGACACTACACCGGCCATATCCGTGGGAGTCAGATGCTCATAAAACCTGAGTGAAAATTTGCGCAAAAAAGTTAGGATAGAATGTGGGTTTGTAATAATATACAGGTTTGGCATAGTATATATAATATTAATATATTCATGCATATCCCTCTCATTGTTTCTATATTTTAATAGTCAGTACGTAAATATGTACGATCAGGTGTATGATACCTGAACCCAATACCTCAACGATAGCACTTTATGGATCACAGATTTGAAAACCCCGAAACTACATACAGTCTGATTTTCTTGGCCACTTTGGCAAACAGCAGATGATCTTTGTCCTTCACTTGGGCAAACGAACGAACAATCACCACCATGGCTTGCAGATTCATAGTATCGAGTGTCTCAACCGCTCTGTGACTCAGGGGATAGAAGATGTCTCGACGATACTCGTGGTTGTTTGCAAACCCCCATGTGGTGTTGCTCACTTCCTAATAAGGCACATGACAAGGCAGAAGAATAGTAGCAGGGGGGGGGGGGGAAATAAGCTGAAGAGAATATTTTCGATACCATTCTGCACCTGAGCGTAGGTAGGTTTATGTACATCTGTGGACACGCACGCCAGCAGACCTGTATGTATCTCATAGCACAGCGACACATAGCAACAGAAATCTAACTACAGACCGACATGGTCACCATAATTGTAGTTCAATATACTCAAAAGAAATTATGAAAACTTACGGCAACAAAAGAACTCACCACTAGTACATTAAACTTGTCAGTTCATCTCATCACGTATTGGGCGAGCTGATACAGTATACATGCATCTCTGTGATATACAGAAGGGATATGGATACAGTCAATAACCAGCCAGACTATACTATAGTATACACATATCCATAAAAAACAACATATGGTATTCGTGTAGGCGAATTGAATACACATCCACAAGCAGGAGGTTACTTCAGACCATCGAGATGGGCTATACATCAATAAAATGGACATTCGTGCTACCATACGAATTGCGTGACACATCAATTCAAATACATGGTTATATCCATTTTATGTACCATATATAAAATTGTATATATATATATACATATACATATATATCTATATATATATATAGTATTTATATATATCCATATCCATATCCATATATAATATATATATATATATATAA